TGCAGGAGGAGAACATGGACACTTCAGCCCCGGCACCGAAGCGTTCCCAGCAGGAGCCCAGTGGAGAGCTTGGAGGATCCTCGGAGGAGCCATCTAGCAAGCATCAGCGGTTGATTCAGTCCGTTCAGGTCGATGGCGACGTGCTCTACACCTTGGATGAGGATTGGGGTGATTATCCCGGTGATCACGATGAACATTTGGAGGCCCAGTGGGAAGAGAGTGATGAAGACCTGGATTGGTCAGACCTGAAGGAATCTGATGGTCCACCCGAGTTGTCGGGTGAACAGCTTGCTGCTGTTGATCATGATGCAGAGTTGGAGGAAGTCACAAGGCTTGTGAGCATGGGAGTACTAAAGGAAGCAGTAGACCCAAGCCAGCTCGTGGTTGATGATGCCAAGTTGCTCCGGACCAGGTTTGTTCATGATTGGCGCTACCGCGACAAGGTTTGGAAACGACGAGCTCGGTTGGTTTGCAAGCAGCTTCGCATTTGGAATCCCAACAGGTCTGATGTCTACGCACCTTCCACGAACCCCGCAGTAAGCCGAGTTGTACCATTGCTCTTCACCTCCAAGCCTGGATGGGTCATGCGTGCCCTTGACATCAAGGATGCTTTTCTTTGTGTTCCGCAACGCGAGGAGCTCTATGTGACCTTAGGTGGAAGGACGTATCAAGTGCTGTATTGCCTCCCAGGCCAGCAAGCAGCATCAGCTTGGTGGGGTGAGCAGCTCGCGGGTGATTTGAAGTCGGCAGGCCTTGCAGTTGATGTTGCGTGCCCAGCTGTGCTCGGACAAGAGTCAGCAGGAGCCACAGTTCACGTGGACGACGGATTGCTTGGAGGCCTTCCTCATTCAGTTGATGCGGTGGTTGAGGTTCTAGAGAAGAGATACAAGGTTCAGGTGTCCGATCCGGTTTCAAAGCCAGGTGACAGTCTCAAGTTCTTGAAGAAGGATTTGACGGTGACCAGAGATGGATTGGTGATACGCTTGGATGAGAAATACCTCAACAAAGTTTGCGAGCACCTAAACATCACAAACCCAAGGCATCGACGTGTTCCATGTACTCAGGACATCCTGGGAAAAGACGACAGCCCAGAACTTCCAGTTGCTCAGGCATCGTTGTTTCGAGCGGCTATCGGATCCCTCCTTTACATCTCTCCTGAACGCCCGGATGCTCAATTTGCCATAGGAGCTCTTGCTCGGTGTATGTCACGGCCTACGAAGAAGGCATGGGATCAATTGCGCACGTTAGGAGAGTACCTGTGGCACACGAGACACTATGAGCTCACTTTGAAGTGGACCTTCCCAGGACGTTCGATGCTTGATGAGAGGCAGATGTCTGCTGCAGAGGTTGCCCAGAAACAAGTTGAGAGTGCAAATGAGCCCATGTTGATCGAAGTTCTTACAGACTCTGACTGGGCCGGTGCAGCAGACCGCATTTCAACGAGTTCATGCCATGTGTTTGTCAACGGCAATCTTGCATACTCCTTTGTGCGTAAACAAGGATGCATTTCTCTTTCGAGTTGTGAAGCTGAGCTTGTTTCCGCCGTGAGTGGAACTGCTGAGGGGCTTTACATCGCCCACGTCATTCGCACAGCAGGGGCATGCACTACAAAGATCATACTTCGCCTCGACTCCTCATCAGCGAGGGCACTCTTGTATAAACAGGGCGTTTCACGCATCAGGCATCTCGCCACCAAATTGCTGTGGATCCAAACTTTCACGAGGAGGAAAATCATCGAGGCAGCTGCTATTCCGACTGCCTACAACACCTCCGATTTAGGCACTAAACCGCTGACATCTAAGAGAATCTCGATGCTTATGCAGCGCATCGGCTACAATGCCGAAGGAAATCATGTTCAGGCAGTTCGCAGCAACGCTCACATGAAGGCATTGAAAAAGGCAATTGCTGCGATCGTAGTTCTTACGATGAATGCGGAAGCTGACGCCTTGAGCCTCATGCAGGATACCAGCCACGACATGGACGAGTTCTACATCTTCTTCTTCACGAGCCACCCGTACATGTTCATTGGTTTCCTTGCAGCGGTCGTGATTGTTGTCAGTTTGGTGATGTGCAACATTTGGGCATTGGTTGTCCAGACAACAGCGCGACCACATCATGCAGAACCAGATGGAGGACCACATGGAGATCTACATCGTGCAGAACCAGATGGAGGACCACATGGAGAGCCACAACATCCAGAACCACATCGAGGACCAGATCATCCAGAACCACATCGAGGACCAGATCATGCAGAGCCACATCGAGGACCACATCATGCAGAGCCACATGGAGGACCACATCGAGTACCACAAGGAGGACTACGTGATCCTCATGGTGTTCATCGACTTCCTGGTGCACTACGTGGAGATCAACCTTTGGCGTTGGATGATTGGCCTGACCTTCGCTTTTGTCCGCGCGCAGGTGTAAGCTATCATCGTCCAGGATGCGGAAATCTTCGTTCAGCCACTGTAGTGCAAGTGTACAGTCGTGAGCAACATGTCCGAAACCCGCTAGCCCAGTGCCAAATCTGCAATCCTCCACTACTTCAGGGTTCAGCTCCAGTGAGTGTGCGACGACGCCGCCGTAGGTGAAAGCTTGATGGATGTTTTATGCATCCACATTTCTTCATAAGACGCTTTTTGAGGTGATGACCAGTCCATCTCAGCGCACTTTTAAGAATGACTTTTCGTCGGTACATTGTGCATCGGACTCAGTCAAGCTGTTGGTTCATTGTACATTGTTCGATCAAGAATCAGTGGAATGCCGTGTGAAACACCGGATTCCAAGGAGGGGTGCAAAACATATATGTACACGTACGTACCTCTTTTGTACCAGTACAGCTGTGTGCAATATGCATGCACAAGTGACCAAAGACCAACGACTCTGCAGGCGTTAAAGCTTTGGAGTGAGAAAGTTTCGCAGATCCGCACAGGCAAGAATCCGACTATGCGTCATTTGGAACGCACACATGGCATTAGTATCGGTTGGATGCACTCCATC